CACAAGTCAAGCTCTCATTTAGAATCCTCAAGGTGAAAGGAGAAGATGAAGAACAAGGAACACAGTATGCCGAGAAATGGAGACTGACGAGAAGAATTACCGGTGAGACTATAATTTATGGACGATCTTTGAGCGACACCAGACTGACCTTGAGGGTGTCCACTTTACAACTAAGGCCAAATGACTTAAGTTTAATAAATGAGAAGTAAAAAGGATAGGATAACTACTTTATCCTACCATGTAACTCTTCAGAAGAGTTGATTAACAGACCTATCACTGATTAAACTCAAGTTGATTGTTTGATTCTATTTTGGGCAGGTTTGTAAAGATAATGAGGAAAGTTGAGTCCCTGAAATGCTTTATGTTAATAATTTGTAAATCAGCCTTTCTCATTATTATATCCCAGTGAGAATTATGGATGGTAACTGTTGGGATATATTTATGGTATAATATGATACATATATTTATATTGCATAATTATTAAGTAGCTACACTATGCATATTCTAGTTCCTCTTATCATAACTTTATTTTGACCCATAGACTATTATGATATGATTCACCATTCTTCAGGTATCCCCAGTTTATTAATTACAGTCTCTAACATTTACAGCCACTTTTGGCTTTATTATGTACAAATATGTATTTCCTATTCTATAGTACGATGTGGTCTATCTGGTTTGTATATAAACCCATTATGTTTGAAATATATGATTCATATCACTGTGGCTGAGATTGGTGTTCTGGATTCAACGGGCAAAGTTAGGCAGGAAAAAGGGTCGATTATGACTCTAGACTGCTTGTATGGGTTGTTGTGCGTCATTACTCTGATCGATAATTCACTAATCTCTAATTGGAGGTATCATTACATCATACATTAATAGGGGCAACAAAGCCACAATTTATAACACTCATTTCGATACTATACTAATCAAAAGCTTTTGAAAATATTTCTTTTGTTCGCACTGCTGTGAGAAATTCCCTAAAGGTATACTTTATTTGGAAGCAGAATCAAACGTTTCAAAAATTACACTCATTTTGTATGTCTTCGAATTGAATTCTGAATGTTAAATTTCATTGTTACATTTAGAAGATTGAATGGTTATGAAATTAACTTCTATCTGAAGTTTGTACTGATGATGTCGTTCAGAAGAACGATGAAATCTCCACGATCAAACCATCCATCTCAGCGAACAAAACTCTATCAAGAAGTTAACTTGATTTATTCAACCTTATTCAAATGCTCTTGAATAAAACAATTATCTACAAATCTCTTGTAATTTTATAAGTTCAAATGGTTGAACAAAATATTCTATGGTTTGTATGGCATTCAAACAAGATGAAAGCTTTTTCTAACAATTCAGTCTGGAATAGTTATTCCCTGATTGATAGTTTGAATCTAACGGAAATCGATGTCTTATTTTAAATGTTATGTAACTGAACAACTTCATTTATTTAAACAGAGAAACATTGGTACAAGGCAGCGCCGAACAATAAAAGTGCATAGAAAGGATGGTGAGTATAATAACAAAAGGAACAGAAATGGCTATAAATTAGTGTGTGAGGGTGAAATAACAATAATAATGGGATAGTGTTCTTTCTGTTAGATAAGTGACTCACACTTAGATAAAAAAAAAAACTAAAAAAAAGTTACAACAGGATCTCCACTGGTTTCTATTCTGAACCATGTTTGATAATTTCTCAAACCACTGTGTTACATTATCTTTAGGAATCAAACCAAGGAGTTATCTAAGACCAACAAACCACAATTCTTTACAGCTACCATGGCATGAACTGACCATCTCTCCACTTTTTTCCAACCGGTTCTAGTGTTGGCAAATAATACATGATGTAAAATTCTCTGGGATGACATTCGTAGTACATGTCCAAGCCATTGAAATCGGTGTTTTAAAATGATGACACTAATTGAATTCTTGTCGCTATGCTCGAACACACATTGTCGTATCTATGCATTACTAACGTTATGTTGTTACTATGTATCAGTAATCTTTCGGAGACAACAATAATCAAACACACTGAGTCGATTAGCATCCCCATCTTGGAGAGAATAGGTTTCATAATCATGTAACAAAACTTCTCTCACCGGTAAGTTGTAGATCTGATCTTTTACAGTCAGACTAACATCATGAAAGCATCAAAGATAATCCATGGATCTTAAGAATATTGTATCACATTTTGAATTTGCTTTAGTCACTCATACATTTTCAGATATATAATTAAATATAGTAGTATAGAGATTTTAATTAAATTCTATCTTATTATTTAAATCTCCTTGTCTATTAGCATAAAGTGAAATGTTTACGAAAGCTAAAATATAACTTATTTATTCTTAAATAATGTTTAAATGATACAATCATTTAATCTGCATAACAATGAGTAAACATTAGTCTAATTATGTTACATGATAAATTTGCATAAAAACTACTCTTTACAAGATGAAGAATCGTATGTTCATCAATATTCATGAAATCATGAACCTAAGTTACATGCAGGATAGAACTTATCAGCAAGATGTAACTGACATCTTGAAAAAAGTTATGTTTCCTTTAGGATTCGAACCTCTCCCCCGTCAATAAGATGACAGGTAATGAAGCGGATACTAGAAAGCTTTGCTAATTTAGTTAAGTGAAAGCTTCCATGCCAAGAATATCAGTCAGTCAGCTACAATGTATGACCAGGCACATATATGCATCGGCCCAATTTTCAAGTCACGAACATGGTACTGAAAGATTTTGGAAGTTCATTATGTTGTTCAGTAGTTTGAATTAAATTTGAATAATTCTGAAGCATTTTCAGTCGATGCTTCAATTTTTTTATGATGATTTAAATATACTACTTCCATGATTTAACTTTAACATACAGTTTATATCAATTAATGAGTACTATAGAAAAAAAAAACGATAAAGTTGCGATGAGTTCATCTGTAAGCTCTTTTGACGTTAATCATTTGGCAACTATTCCAGAGAATAGAATATACCGATCAAAAACTGATGGACTTCATTTACAATCATCAACTTCAGATGGAAGTAAGAAGTACAATCAGAGAAACGTTAGTATATTTATAGTATATTATATGAGAAGATTCTAGAGTCTTCTCCATGTATCGATTAGCGCTGATTAGGCAAGAATTAGCCAATTAGTGTCCACTAACATACTCCTGTGCGGAACATGCATTAATCCAATTTATATTCCGCTAACACAATTGATCAATTATCTCTTATACTTTTAATCCTTAAATTATTTTCACCTCGGCGAGACTATAATTTATGGACGAATCAATCAGATATAAGATAAATGGTCTTGGATTTTTGCTCGAAATTCACCCATCCATTTGGCTAAATGACGTTTTTGGCATTTTACCATCAACTGTAAATCTTAATTCTAATTCCTTACTCATGTTTACAATTCTCATTTGGTACTAGATATTAGGTGAACACTCTCAGGGTTACTCTAGAGTTGCTCAAAGGCCATCTATAAATTTGATTGTTTAAACAATCAAAAAGAAACATAATCGAACATCCTTCACTACAACATTCTAAATTTTTTTAAATTATTAACAAGGTTTACCAAGCAAACAATAGATTTTTTCAGGTCTTCAATTGTCAAAATCATCTTTCCAACAAATCTTAAACCGGTATTTATTTTCAATATAAGATGATAAATTTCAATTTTACAAGTTTTATCAAATAAACTCATATATTAAATTGTTGAAATCATGAGTCAATTGAAGCTAGACCACTATGGAAAACCTGGAAGCACTGGACGGCCGTCTCGTCCTATCGTGGGACTCCTCAGTGGCAGTGCGCATCCACGATCTCGCCTCGCGAGGTTCGAACCTAGGACCTACTGGTCTCAACCGGTCCAGTTGTGAGATAGTAACTTACTGATGACAATGAAGGATGTGTCTCTCAATTTCGTGGATTAGTTGAAGTTAGACACTAACACCGTTGGAGGCCGGCCGGCTCAGTGGTCTGATGGTTAAGTGCTAGCGCGAGAGACTGATAGTTCTTGGGTCCGAATCCAGCGAGGCGAGATCGTGGATGCGCACTGCTGTGAAGTCCCACAATAGGAAGAAACGGCCGTCCAACGTTTTCGGGTTTTCCATGGTGGTCTAGTTTCAGAGGACTCATGATCTCAACAATCGAAATTACGGAGACCTCCACAAAACCCTATCTTGACCGTAAATTGAATACTTATTTAATATTTGAATCCATGAATCGTTGTAAGCTAAACCACCCTGAGAAACCTGGAAGCACTGGATGGCCATTTCGTCCCAGTACGGGACTCTTTAACAGTACTTATCCATGATACTGCGCGTGGGACTCGAACCCAGAACCTTCGATCTCATGCTTGAAAGCTTAACCTCTATACCATTGAGCCGGCATTCAACTGTGTTAATGTCTAACTTCAATATGAGATGATACATTTCAGTTTTACAAATTTTATTCAATAGACCCATAATTGTATATTTATTTAATAGTTGATTTCATGAGTCAATTGAAGCTAGATTACCATAGAGAACGTGAAAACAATGAGTGACCGTCCCGTCCTAGTACAGAACTCCTCAGCAGTGCGCATGCACGGCCCCGCCCCGCGAGATTCGACCCCAGGACCTATCGGTCTCGCATGAAAACACTTAGCCTCAATACTATTGTGCCGTGTATCCCACGTTGTTAATGTCTAACTTCAATCTGAGCCAATACATTTCAATTTAAAAAGTTTTATCCAATCAAATCATACATTAAATATTGATTGATTTATTTCATCCCAATTAATCAATAAAATGGGTGAGACATAAGACACACCTATACTAAGATTATAACCTTATAAACTATTCATTAAAATTAACCAATAAAAAAGAGAGTTTCAAGGTCAAATGGATTATATTTTAAAATGAGTTACACATTACTATTACTTACTAATTATAGTGAATATCATTACCAAATGACAAGATTAGTCTAATGTATATGATTCTTATCAAATGGTGAAAAATAAGTGGGAAAATCAAAAAATTAAATCAGAATTTGATATAAAAATTATAAAGGAAAGAAAACCAACAACATTACAAACTCTTATTGCTACAATTATATTATGTTGTTTAACAGTGATATTACTAATTATTGGCATGTCATTAAAATTAGCTTATGGTCCATCATTATATTATAGAGATGAAAATTAGTAAGTTATTTATTTATTTTCTTTTGGTTAGTGTTTTTTCTCTCTAACGAGTTAGTTTTCTATGGGATGGAGTTGCTAACCCCATGCCTAACTCTCCTCCTTTATCTGGGCTTGGGACTGGCAGTAGTCCCAGAGAAGCTCCAGGAGGAGTTAAGTTATATTGATATATGTATGTTTGTGTTATGTGAAAACAGCTTTTCACTCGTATTAAAACGCTTACAATACAACAATTAGAAGTTTATCAGAATTGTGTGATATATATATATATATATATATATATATATATATATATATATATATGCACAATACATTTCGAACAATCTGAGACTGATTATATGGTTGACATCAAGTCAGCATTTGTAGTGTTATACAAAAGCTTTCAAGGATGTATACTAAGGTTTATTGAAGCATTGGTTATACGGAAATCGAAACCCCGTTTATGTGTTCAAAAACAATTTACACTTACACGTAACCTACCCTGGTAATACTGATTTATTATCCGGAGTGGTTATCACATTGTTTTTGTGTACGTTTTTCTTTGTTACAGCTTACCTTTAACCTGTCTAGTTGACCTTTAATTTTCATATTAAAATGTCTTAACAAGTACATTATGCGTGATCAGATTGTTCGAAATGTATTGCGCAATTATATCACATAATTCTCATAAACTTCGTCTTCTCATTGCATTATCGATATTTCAATAGTTGGAATCATGAGTCTATTGTGAAATAGTAACTCACTGAAGACAATGGTGACGGTGGCGCAACTTCGCGGATTGGTTGAAGTTAAACATTAACACCGTTGGATGCCGGCTCAGTGGTCTATTTGGTTAAGCGCCTGACGCGAGACTGATAGGTCTTGGGTTCGAGTCTCGCGGGGGGTGGAATCGTGGATGCGCACTGCTGAGGGGTCCCATACCAGGACGAAGCAGCCGTCCAGTGCCTCCAGGTTTTCCATGGTGGTCTAGCTTCAATAGACTCATGATCTCAACTATTGAAATTACTAAAATCTCCACAAAATCCCTCTTGATAATTATCGATATTTGTCAAAGGGAATAATTATTTTATGTCTACAATACTATTATAAGATAGAGTAGTTGTGTAAATGACGATATCAGAAAGGGTTTTTCGTTGATATTATAATACTTTTAATAGTTGAAATCATGAGTCAATTAAAGCTAGACCATCATGGAAAATGTGGAAGCACTGGATGGACGTTTTTGTCCTAGTGTGGGACTCTTCAAGAGTGCGCAGCCACAATCCCGCCTAGCGAGATTCGAACCTAGGACCTATCAGTTTCGAGCGTGAGCGCTTATGTTTATAAAGGTAATCAAATGTTTTAACAAAAGAAATTTTCAATTCTAATTTGAATGAAATATTAATTATTATTCAGTGACCAAAATCTATTATATCCTTTTTTGAATTGTTTGTTTCATTAACGTCTTACTATGGACATAATTTGATTACAACTAAAAAAAGGGATGAGAGTTTGCGGAAATTGTAGTAATTTAATGGTTGGATTCATGAGCCAATTTAAGCTAAACCACCATTGACAACCTGCGAGCACTGGATGGACGTTTCGTCCTAGTATCATACTCGTCGAACGTTAAAGGCAGCCAGTTTGAATGGTGCGCGTGGTTTCAGAAAGACTGCTTCAGTACTCGTATTCGATGGTAACATACAATTTTCAAACCAGGCAGTGACTCGAGAACGTTTAGATAAAGCTGAATTTTTACCATAGGCGAGCTGCTGTCTGGGTCGAAACGGATACAAAAAGTAGAAATAGGAGATAGTGAGTAAATGACGTAGTAAGTAATAATAATAATAATAATAATAATAATAATAATAATAATAATAATAATAATAATAGTATCAGTCATTTCAATGTTAGTCAGAGAAGAACGAATATTTTCCGTAAGCGAATATTTCATCATGTTTTGGTGTGTGGGCTGAGATACTGCCCGGGTGCCCAAACCGAAGCAGGTGGTTTTCTTAGGGGGCCACACCCCGAGCCTTTGACCTAAAGGTCTAACCCACAAGGCAGTGGAGCATCGTGAGGAGATGCAGTCCCATGGAAGCCGGTGACCAAAAGTTGGTTCATACGCCATTTGTTCCTTCAGGATACTGGAGCCCATGTGCACCATAGAATTGGGATCCGGTTATAGCGCCGGACGTTCGCTTTTCGTCCTCTCATTTTCGTAAACAACACCCCCGCCACGTGAAGGCAGTGAGTAGGACTTCCCTGGCAGAGGCTGTATACGCGTGGCCGTGTGAGAGTATTTCGAGAGGGAGGGCGAACCCTCCCCGCTCTCGGCCATACCAGGGCATTTGGGGGCATCATACTCTAGCAGTGCGCATCCAAGACTCCGCTCGTGGGAATCGAACCCAGAACGTTCGGTCTCTCTCACGAACGCTTAATCTCTAGGCCCTTGAGCCGGCATCCAACAGTATTAATGTCCAACTTCAACCAATCCACAATATTGCTCGACCGTCCACCATAGATAACTCTACTCTGATTATTTCGCATAGCTTAAACCTTACGAACTTATTATTAACGAACATTGTTTAAAGAACTCTGAGTAAATGTCTTAAAATAAGTCATTACTCATTATTTTAAACATTCGGTTATCGCAAAGGTCATAGAATCAACCTTTGCACTACTTCAGCTGGATCAGTTTTAAGGTTACTGCCATTCCAAAGGCCAAAGAAGGGACGAGGTTCCGGCATCGAGTTAGCTCAACATTGAACATTAAGTAAAGGATTTTATAGCAAAATTTAAACCTCTCTCTCATTCTAGCATGGTAAACTAATTTGGAAAAAAAATATTATCGATTCATCGCTACTAAGCTAACTGGATAAACGGGTCACGAAAACCAATGAAAGCGTTTCTTTAATTCTTACTGTTCAATCGTTATATTATAACGATTCTGTAGTTCTTCGATTTTTTTTATTTTGAAAAACACGCTTTCATAACACTATCGATAAATTGGGGCTAACAATATCGTTGTCTTACTTTCGTAAACCTTCAAGTCTCTGTATACTTACATCAATGAGTTGATATTTTAAGCTGGATTCAGTTTATGATATAATGTAATGTTCTATCACTGTCTGGAATCATAGTAACTTTTGTGCAATTTTCAACTCATTAGACCGATGTAATAAAATAAATTCTAAGCATTTACGCAGAAGTAATAAGATCATGTCTAGATCATCGTGTACGCATATAGATAATAACTTGAGGCTTCAAAGAAGTCTGATATTAATTTGTGACAAATTTGCACACCAATCAGGAGGATTAAATTAATAGGTAATGAGATATGATGATATGATATGAGCCCAATCTCATCACTGACTTTTATTGGTACAATAGCCTTTGGGAACCGAGAAACAGGACGGATTTTACATTGTTGTAGAATGTAGGAATGACTATACTAGGGGTCAACATGGAAACTTCCTAGTCTAATATCTAGTAGGATAACATTCAGACATCGCTCAACCTTAATTTGTTACTTATGTACCATTACCATCACTCAGTGTGATCCTATCGTTTCACGCCATGTTAACGTATATCATCCAAGACATCTATTTTGCGAAACATTCTAATTTCCTATTACCATTGAACTAAACTTTAAAACTAATAGTTTTAACTTATAAAATTCTTGGTTTCAGTGTTTCAAGTCATTTGAATTCTAATCCATCATCTGTCATTTACTACTACATGTAACTAACCGCTTACAATATCGACTATTTGTTCTAACTTTAAGAGGATACATTTACATCTATTATGAAATATTATTCTCTTATTCTTGTGTATAAACGGCCCTCAAACGCCCTGGTACGGCCGAGAGTGGGGAGAGTCAGCTCTCCTTCTCGAAATGCTCTCACATGGCCACGTGTATACAACGACTGCCAGGGAATTCTTACTCGCTGCCTTCTCGCACCACGGGTGTTGTTTACGAAATTGAGAGGACGAAAAGCGAATTTCCGGTGCTTTAACCGGGTTGGTGGACACAGAGTTCACGTAGGGGAGTTGGAAAACCCTCATTCCAAACCGATGGTGCACGTATGTTCTAGTATTTTGGAGGAACAAATGGCGTATGAATCAATTATCGGTCACTGGCTATTAATTCTTTCTTCCTGTATTATATCCTTATATGCAATCTTGCCTTTATATATTACACCGTTGAGTTAATTGCTTCTATGAATTTGGTGTTCATCTTGCTGTGCTAATGAGGTGTGGCAACTTGGACCGATGCATATATGTGCCTGGTCCTACGTTGCAGCTGACTGACTGACTGACACTGGCTACCATGGGATTGCATCTCCTTACGTTGCTCTACTGCCTTGTGGATTAGACCTGTAGGTCAAAGGCTCGGGGTGTGGTCCATTAAAAACACCAACTACTTCGCTTTAGGCACCCGGGCAGTATCCAAGCCCTCACATAAATCGAATGATTTATGTAGTGCATATCTATTTGGTGTCTCCGTGTATCAGTGTTTACGTGCTTAAATAAATAAATATAAATAAACTTGTTTCACTAATACGTTTTCTTAAGTAAAAAAAGTTTTGAACAACATCAATACGTGAGTAGTGGATGACCTTGGAAATTATAATATCTGATGCATCAACTAAAACTTTTCAGTCAATAAAACTTAATGGGTCTTGTTTTCTTTTCTTATTGTATTTTTACCAACATTAAAAAAAATCAGTTTTTGGTACGATAAAGTCATTTTCATGTGTAAACATGTTTAATGAGACAGTGTTAATGCACCTTGATGTTGTCGATCGATTGATCGTGCGATGACGGTGTAATTGTGACAGGGTGTTTAGAATGCAGAGGATGTTATTGATCTTTCTGCGAACCCACTGTCTTAAATTGATGTTATTTTGGGGTGCTGAAGTTGATATGATTTTGGCCTTACCCGTTCGCACACATTCCATGTTCACCGTTAGTTATAGAAAACTGTGATCGTGTTGACAAACCGTGTGCGAAACATGTTT